TTGTATCTCTGACTGACATCATTCCTGTCGTGTCATGATTAAAAAATTCCTCAAGAATTAATTTAAAAAAAATAGAAATTAGACAAGAAGAAATGGAACTAGCGGAGAAGAGAGGCACCTTGCCACTTCACTCCAGGAAATGGGACAACTGTCATAATTAATATAGTTTATATAATTTAGTTAGTGGGACATGGAAGTGGAATTTAGGAGTTTGGGGATATAGAAGGAGAAGGGGAGGAGGGGGGGGGCGGTGGATAGGTTAGATTGTATGTGTGTCTGTCTGCGTGTTTGTGCGTGTGTGTGAGTCTCTTGTTTAGAATTTTATTCATTCAGTTCACAACATATCATATTAATAACTTCCAACTGTATATAATTCTGTTATGTTTCTCTGATAATTAGTAACTAAACGCATATATTATTTGTAATGTAACTTCAATATATTGTCATTATGTTTAATCATATTTATTATCATTCTGTTATTATTTTTTGCGCATTGAATGAACAATTAAATGTATTTATTTTAAAAAAATGGTGGGAGGGAGGGATGGAGACATAGAGGGTTAGAGAGAGAGAGAGAGAGAGAAGGGGGGGGGGAGGTGAAAGGAAGGAAGGAAGGAATAGAGAGAGAGAGAGAGAGAGAGAGAGAGAGGCATACATAACAGAGATATAAAGAACACGAATAAGAGATATTATACTGTCAAAGTAATATGTGTGTGCTATTTATTTACGTTTTAAAAGTTTCGTCAGTTACTCCAGGCATTCAGATGGTATTTGACCTTTCATTTTGACCCGAACGCTGGGATTTGGTCGTTGACAAACAGTGAAACCCGTCTTGCTGTGAGGTTTATTCAAACTCTTAAGTATATTCCTTCAATGCAACTTTCCCCGCAGCCTCGTTTACTTATAATCGTTTTGTTTCCATTTTGTCAAGGCCTAGTCTTAGGATATTAGTATGTAAAAATAAATGAAAATAAACATTTTCAGAGGTGGCTCTTTTGTTTAAAGAGATGGAATGCACTATATGACATTTTCGCCTGTATTGAATAGGGTATATAAAGGGGTAACATTACAGAGAAGGAGAGGCGAATAATAAATATTACAGATGGAGAGAGAGAGAGAGAGGCGAATCATTAGAGATGGAATGAGAGAGAGAGAGAGAGAGAGAGAAGAGAGAGAGAGAGAGAGATGGAATGAGAGAGAGAGAGAGAGAAGAGAGAAGAGAGAGAGAGAGAGAGCGAGAGAGAGAGAGAAATATACTCTTCCTCCACTACCGCCACCACTAGTATAGCTCTTCCTCCACCACCGCCGCAAAAAGTAAACCTCTTCCTCCACAGCCGCCACTCGAATTATACACCTCTTCCTCCATCACTGCCACCCTGCGTATATATCTCTTCCTCTACCACCGCCACCAGAAGTATATCTCTTCCTCCACCACCGCCACCCTAAGTATACCTTTTCCTCCACCACTGCCACCCTAAGTATACCTTTTCCTCCACCACCGCCACCCTAAGTATACCTTTTCCTCCACCACCGCCACCCTAAGTATATCTCTTCCTCCTTCACCGCCACCCTAAGTATACCTCTTCCTTCACCACCGCCACCCTAAGTATACCTTTTCCTCCACCACCGCCACCCTAAGTATACCTTTTCCTCCACCACCGCCACCCTAAGTATACCTTTTCCTCCTCCTCCACCACAGTTAAAATTTTTGTGAACAAGTTGTTTAAAAGTTTAAACAACTCTTGATTAACGGGTGACCTGATCTAAGAGTTGTTTAAAATGTTAAGCAACTCGAGTTGTTTAAAGTTTAAACACTTAGTTGATCAACATTTTGAACAACTTGTTTAAAATCACAATTTAAACAACTGGTGTTGTTTAAAGACGGTTGTTTAAAAAGGAGCTGTTGTTCAGTGGGGATTGTTTACACCAACTGGGTTGTTTAAAGAAAGTTGTTTAAAAAGGAGCTGTTGTTCAGTGGGGATTGTTTACACCAACTGGGTTGTTTAAAGAAAGTTGTTTAAAAAGGAGCTGTTGTTCAGTGGGGGTTGTTTACACCAACTGGGTTGTTTAAAGAAAGTTGTTTAAAAAGGAGCTGTTGTTCAGTGGGGATTGTTTACACCAACTGGGTTGTTTAAAGAAAGTTGTTTAAAAAGGAGCTGTTGTTCAGTGGGGGTTGTTTACACCAACTGGGTTGTTTAAAGAAAGTTGTTTAAAAAGGAGCTGTTGTTCAGTGGGGGTTGTTTACAACAAAAGGGTTGTATAATGGGGTATAATTTGGGTTTGATACTCTGAATAAGTGCACCACTACTTCTGGGTCTCTATATAGGTATATGAAGACTACAAGACTACAATATGGTAGGGTAATTCTGCAATTAATGAATTAGCGCCAAAACAGTGCCCATTTTGCATGAGCGCGCATGCACGCACGTATAAACTGCATATATAGGGATACATGCAATCTATATGGCAAGGAATTTAGCACACGTTATAAACGAGTGCGCGATCAGTGCCGCACTGCATGACGCGACGATTTTAAGTCTACCTTTATTCTGACATTTGCGTACAGATACTGAAAATTGTAACTGTGAACTTACGCTATAAGTTAAAAACTTCAAATTGGTTAATAGAAAAGTGATTTCAATTAAGACATTGAATCCCCAGTCACTTAGAAGCGCGTCGGTAGCTTGGTCGGCCATGATGTGTGTTGTGTTGTGGGTTGGAAAGTAAAAACTATTAAGCTAAATAAATGTAAGTATAGAGACAAACAATATGGAGCCTGCAGAAACACGTGTGGTTGCTTTGGTAGTTTAATCCAGACTCAATGTCCATGTGCTTTTACATATGTATCAATCTGTGTAGTCAACAGAAGACCCTTGCATATACTTGCATTGTGTGTATGCATCTAATATGAATAACAATGAGCTGTGCCTGAACAGCAGCACTGCATTTCTAAGTGGCATGTTAATTTCAATTGCATGTTAGTTTCAAGGAACCTGTTTCTAAACATAACAATGTGAAATAAAGCTTTTAGCCAGCGCGCACTTTACTGGCACGAGACACATGACGTCATATGTAAACAACACTGTCTAAAAGCTCTCGTATAGTAAATATAGCAGTCATTAAATTTTAAACAACGAATGTTTAACAAAATTACTTTCGTTTCGAGCAACATTGTTTACAATTTGTTCAACTGTTGTTTAAGATAGTGTACAACTGTAAGTGAACATCACTTTTTTAAACAGCGTTTTTACTGTGTAAGTATACCTTTTCCTCCACCACCGCCACCCTAAGTATACCTTTTCCTCCACCACCGCCACCCTAAGTATACCTCTTCCTCCACCACCGCCACCCTAAGTATACCTTTTCCTCCACCACCGCCACCCGAAGTATACCTCTTCCTCCACCACCGTCGCCAGAAGTATAAATCTTCCTCTACCACCGCCACCCTAAGTATACCTTTTCCTCCACCAACGCCATCCTAAGTATACTTATTCCTCCACCACCGCCACCCTAAGTATATACCTTTTCTTTCACCACCGCCACCCGAAGTATATCTCTTCCTCTACCACCGCCACCAGAAGTATAACTCTTCCTCCACCACCATCACCCGAAGTATATCTCAAAACAGCAGCAGCGATTACAACCAAACAAAAAAACTCAGCAAAGGAACTAGACCGACAATTAAAAACAAATCTGATAGACGACCAAAATTATTTACATGTCGTTTCAACAAGCAAAAACGGAATATATTTTAGTTGGCACCAGATCCATAATTTCCGAATCACTACTCGAAACAACCTGAACCCAGGTCGACACCTTATATTTGCTTGTATCCAATTTGTTGTGCCCTTCATTCTACCTTAATATCCAGAACTTATCTTTAGAACTCAGTGCTACATGGTTGCCATCCTTTTGAGCAGCAATGCTGATATATAAACAATTTCAATGATTTCATTTTTCAGGATAGTTTCCTCTCTTTTCCCGTGTTGAGTATACCTGTCAAAAGTCAATCTTGCCTTAATTGCCCCTGAAGCATCAGTGTCCTCTTTGCTCTGCACTATTTGCAAATTGGCAACATAAAGACTACCACGGTTATCTGCGGAACAGTATACATACTGCCAAGAATCGTCTGATAGAGACAATGCTTCACTGCCATCAGGGTTCAGAATTTTGATGATAGGTCCAGAGTCCTCGATGCCTGGCTGCGAGATGACAAAACTTCCAGTAGGTAGAGCATGAAGCTGCCTAGGTTTCACACCAGAACATGAAATGGAGTGATCAATCAGGCCTTCTGCGGTCAGAATATCAATGCAGCCATTCAGACAATCACCAGCTAAGAGTGTGCCAGATGGCCCAACATCAATGGAATACCAGTCGTGACCTGCAGCTGGTTTAATGTCATAAAGAAACTCTAAATCTGAGCCATAGATCTGAATGTGCTTTCCAAGAACAGCGATTTTACCGCAAGGAAGAACAGTGATTCCCCTTAATGTCCCATTTCCCAGAAGCATTTCAATGTCCTTTGAGTGAGTGAGCTTTCCATTATCTGCATAACTAGAAAGCCTGGTATCGTAGTGGCTCGTTTCAACCTGCTCCTGAGCAAAAAACAGACCTTATGCAGATGTATGGGATTGAGAGACACTGTGTGATGCTCCCAGAACAAAGCCACCTTTCGGAAGGGGCGCTAGAAAGGAACCTGCCTTACCCACTTCACTCAATGAATTGCTACATACCTGCTCCCATAAGCATATCACCTGACCCAGGCCATAGGCTCTCTCATCTGGAACCAAACTCATTCGTGATATTTTACTCTTGACAGGATAGAGGCACAACGCATCACTTATTCTTACACGCTCCTCTACCTCCTTGGTGCTATGTAGTATCATATCTTGTTTCGATAAGATCTCTGTTGCATCAAGTTCAAAGTTTCAAGTTTCAAGTTTTATTTATCTTTCTTTCATAACACACATTACAAATATGACATGAATATAAAAAGTGAACAGAATATGGCGTTACAATAGAAAGATGAGGTGACCTTGGTTGAAAGCAAGGCTTGTGGATTTAAGGTCCCTCATGAGTAGTTCATGAGTATGTCCTAAAAGAACAAACTCGTCAGATAAGAATAATGTATACATTTAAATGATTACAAAACTAAACTAACTAAACAACTGATAAAATATTAAACATAAATAAGTACAATTAAATCTACTGAGTACTAAATAATGGCTATAAACAACTGGAACAGGAATATACTACGAGCAACAGGAATGAAATACAGACAAAAACTAAACAAGACAGACAGATGAATGGATGTTAGAAACGGGAGTAGAATTAGCTGACCTATATAGCAAATAATTTTCTTAAATATTGATCACAACTATAAATCTAGATGATATCGACTCAAATACAGTAACTTCAGTTTGCGCTTAAATACATAAATACTGACCGATTGCGCTATTCTTGGTTCAAGGGAATTCCAAAACCTAGGCCCAGTGGACCCCAAAGTAGTAAGGGCAAATTGCGTTCTAACAAGAGGTAAGTGATATGCTTGCGCCTGTCGTGTGGAATAATTATGAACTTGGTTATTTTTCTTAAATATTCCAGCCAAGGCCACTGGCAGTAGACCTGCATTCAATTCATACATTAGAGCTCCTAGTTGTAAATGATAAATATCTTCAGCTTTCAAAACACCACTATTACAAAAAAGAACATCTGTATGCGCAAGATAGTGAGTATTACAAACAATTCGTATCACTCTTTTCTGTACCAGTAGTAATTTATCCATTTGAGATTTGAATGAGTTGCCCCAAGCTAGCACACCATAGTGCAAATATGGCAAAATTAAAGTTGCGTACAACATACGTAAAATATTCAGCGGGGACACAGATTTCAATTTATAAATTACACCAGTATTTCGTGACAATAATTTACAAAGCTTACTAATATGGTACTTCCAATTTAAATGTTCATCAATATGCAAGCCAAGAAATTTAAATGTAGATACCCTTTCAATCTCAACACCATCAAACGTTACATTGCCAGGCAATATACTCAGGGAATTACTAAAGAGCATATAATTAGTTTTTTTTAGATTTAAAGACAACTTGTTTGCATGAATCCACAAAGTCGCATTAGTCAACTCGGAGTTTACAGTCTGCAAAAGAGTTTGTGGATTTCTGTGAGAGAAAAATACACTTGAGTCAGAAAATAATCTGCAAATAATCAATTCTTGTGCGTCAAAGATTACTTCGGATGATGCAGCTGTTTGGTCCTGAATGGGTGTGATAGAAGACCATAGATCCTTGAGCAGCTGATGCCTTTCATCTTCAAGTTCATGTAGTACTTTGCTTTCATGATCCTTAATAAGCCGCCAAACATCATTGATGTTTGTTTTCACTTCCTTACTTAACACATCTAACTTGTCAGTATCTCTTGCCACAAGGTCTAAAGCATTAGCGCACATTTCCTGCTTGTGTTTCACTTGCTCTTTCAGTTGATCCAAGCTTTTACTGATCTTGATCTTTGTCGCGGCAACAGCGCTCTGGATCTCATTAAAATCATGCCCTCGATCATGATGGTCATCACGACAATCATCACAAAGAGGCTTCTGGCAAGGGACACATATGTGATCGGCAAGGCGCTCTGAATGTCCAGGCTCGCAACATTTACTCTTCACCTCACTTACTACGACACACTGCAGAAAGTCACCGTGTTGTGCATTGTACGTGTTATGAGCAGAGATGCAATTGTCGCAGATGTAAATGTGTTCTTTGCAAGCGTCATGACGACAATAGTGTCGAGCAGGGTGTCTCCCGCAGATATCACATCGGACTGAAGAGTGAACGTACAGAACTGGTTTAGCGATGGAATCCATTGTGTCAATAGATTTTCATCAGGCTCATTGATCACAGCATGGACTAAGAATTAGGTCCATGTTCACAGTAACCATTGAGTTTGAGTGTCAGAGTTTAAACGAGCTAGAGTTAACCAGTACAGGTTTTATTTAGCCTACACAAGTCCAACAGCTCAGCAACCACAACTCTTGGCGTAATGATAATTATAATAGTTTAGCTCCGACTTTTATAGAGGTCGAGAGCCACTGCATCCACAAACGGCAATCGATACCGACGTACGTCACGCAATCACACAATACCCGGCTTTCGATAGGGGCGATCTAGGGATGACCTCGTGTCGTCCTTTGTCCACTGTAGATCTAAACGCTCGCGGCAAAAAGGACAAAGCACGAACACGAGGTAAACGCGTGGTAAAGATCACGCGATACGGTCTATCACGAAATGGCATGACCTCCGGAAGCATCCGGTGTGATCCATATATAACCCATTATAACTATATGAAGCCTATTAAGAATCCTCTTGGCCCATATGGCCCCGTGTAAAATCCAATCTGGGGCCCATCTGCATGGTTCCATGTGGGGACATCTGGGCCAAGTGGGCCCCAGATGGGCTGCGAGCCTGGGCCCATATAATCCTGGTGAAGATTGCCGGGCCCATCTGGGTCAAATAGGCCAAGTTGTAACCAGATGGGCCCCACAACATTTTGCTATCTGGGAGAAAGAGAGAGAGAGAGGGCAAGGGAGGGGGGATGGAGAAAGAGAGAGAGATAGATAGAGAGAGAGAGAGAGAGAGAGGGGTGTGAGAGAGCCTGGGAGTATCAGCTTTAGAGTTCTTTTTTCTTAGGAGGGGAGGGGGGGGGGACTACAAATATTAGTTTGGGAGTTTCAGAATGCAACAGCATTGGGTGATAGTTAAAATATATCTAGACAGTAATTCCTTTAAAAATGTAGTGCTGCAAAAAGGAACTATATCTTCAATCGAGTTTTTCACGAAACTGGGTTTCTGAAGCACACTGAGTTGGCGCATTTCTTCAGGGCACTCGACATGTTGTTTGATAATTCACTATTACTTGTTGTTCTCGAGCTCTCCTGAACTCACTACGGTACTGTCTTACATAATACGGATTATGTGCGACTATGTCCATCGATCCAACCTTTGTCCACTGTAGATCTAAATGCTTGCGGCACAAAGGACAAAGCATGAACACGAGGTAAACGCGTGGTGATAGTACGTCACACTAGACGGTCTAGCACGAAATGGCACGACCTCCAGAGGCATGCATCCGGTGCATGTGATCCGTTGTTTGAGCATAGATCTAAAGCGACACGATAGAATCTTGATAAAGGTATCTAATGCATTTACAAGAAAGGGAGAAGTGTAAGGGAGAAAGAGAGAGAGAGAGAGAGCGAGGAACGATGGATAGAGAGGGAGAGAGAGACAGTGGGGTGTTCGGAAGTATTATGTAGTTCGGATGTAAGAGTCTGGGGGAGGATCAGCTTTAGACTTTTTTTGTTTTTAGGGGGGGGGGGAATAAAAATATTATAGTTTGGGAGTTTCAAAATGCAACAGCATTGTGTGAAAGCTAAAAGCAATCTAGACAGTAATTACTTTAGGAGTGTGCTGCAAAATGTGATAATTAATCTTCAATCGAGTGGTTGGAGAAACTGGGTTTCTGTGAGCACACTGCGTTGGTGCATTTCTTCAGGCCGGCACTCGACATGTTGTGGCAACTGCCGTCCTTTGTCTTCGGTAGATCTTAACGCTCCATGGCATGAAGGACAAATCACGAACATGAGGTAAACGCGTGGTAAAAGTCAGGTCAGACGGTCTAGCACGAAATGTCACGACCTCCGGAGGCATGCATCCGGTGCATGTGATCCGTTGTTTGAGCATAGATCTAAAGCGACACGATAGAATCTTGATAAAGGTATCTAATGCATTTACAAGAAAGGGAGAAGTGTAAGGGAGAAAGAGAGAGAGAGAGAGCGAGGAACGATGGATAGAGAGGGAGAGAGAGACAGTGGGGTGTTCGGAAGTATTATGTAGTTCGGATGTAAGAGTCTGGGGGAGGATCAGCTTTAGACTTTTTTTGTTTTTAGGGGGGGGGGGGAATACAAATATTATAGTTTGGGAGTTTCAAAATGCAACAGCATTGTGTGAAAGCTAAAAGCAATCTAGACAGTAATTACTTTAGGAGTGTGCTGCAAAATGTGCTAATTAATCTTCAATCGAGTGGTTGGAGAAACTGGGTTTCTGTGAGCACACTGCCTTGGTGCATTTCTTCAGGCCGGCACTCGACATGTTGTGGCAACTGCCGTCCTTTGTCTTCGGTAGATCTTAACGCTCCATGGCATGAAGGACAAATCACGAACATGAGGTAAACGCGTGGTAAAAGTCAGGTCAGACGGTCTAGCACGAAATGTCACGACCTCCGGAGGCATGCATCCGGTGCATGTGATCCGTTGTTTGAGTATAGATCTAAAGCGACACGATAGAATCTTGATAAAGGTATCTAATGCATTTACAAGAAAGGGAGAAGTGTAAGGGAGAAAGAGAGAGAGAGAGAGAGAGAGAGCGCGAGGAACGATGGATAGAGAGGGAGAGAGAGACAGTGGGGTTTCGGAAGTATCATGTAGTCCCCATGTAGTTCGGATGTGAGAGTCTGGGGGGAGGATCAGCTTTAAACTTTTTTTGTTTTTAGGGGGGGGGGGACTACAAATATTACAGTTTGGGAGTTTCAAAATGCAACAGCATTGTGTGAAAGCTAAAAGCAATCTAGACAGTAATTACTTCAGGAGTGTGCTGCAAAATGTGCTAATTAATCTTCAATCGAGTGGTTGGAGAAACTGGGTTTCTGTGAGCACACTGCGTTGGTGCATTTTTTCAGGCCGGCACTGGACATGTTGTGGCAACTGCCGTCCTTTGTCTTCAGTAGATCTAAACGCTCCATGGCATGAAGGACAAAGCACGAACATGAGGTAAACGCGTGGTAAAAGTCAGGTCAGACGGTCTAGCACGAAATGTCACGACCTCCGGAGGCATGCATCCGGTGCATGTAATCCGTTGTTTGAGTATAGATCTAAAGCGACACGATAGAATCTTGATAAAGGTATCTAATGCATTTACAAGAAAGGGAGAAGTGTAAGGGAGAAAGAGAGAGAGAGAGAGAGAGCGCGCGAGGAACGATGGATAGAGAGGGAGAGAGAGAGACAGTGGGGTGTTCGGAAGTATCATGTAGTCCCCATGTAGTTCGGATGTGAGAGTCTTGGGGGGAGGATCAGATTTAGACTTTTTTTGTTTTTTAGGGGGGGGGGACTACAAATATTACAGTTTGGGAGTTTCAAAATGCAACAGCATTGTGTGAAAGCTAAAAGCAATCTAGACAGTAATTACTCCGGGAGTGTGCTGCAAAATGTGCTAATTAATCTTCAATCGAGTGGTTGGAGAAACTGGGTTTCTGTGAGCACACTGCGTTGGTGCATTTTTTCAGGCCGGCACTCGACATGTTGTGGCAACTGCCGTCCTTTGTCTTCAGTAGATCTAAACGCTCCATGGCATGAAGGACAAAGCACGAACATGAGGTAAACGCGTGGTAAAAGTCAGGTCAGACGGTCTAGCACGAAATGTCACGACCTCCGGAGGCATGCATCCGGTGCATGTGATCTGTTGTTTGAGCATAGATCTAAAGCGACACGATAGAATCTTGATAAAGGTATCTAATGCATTTACAAGAAAGGGAGAAGTGTAAGGGAGAAAGAGAGAGAGAGAGAGCGAGGAACGATGGATAGAGAGGGAGAGAGAGACAGTGGGGTGTTCGGAAGTATTATGTAGTTCGGATGTAAGAGTCTGGGGGAGGATCAGCTTTAGACTTTTTTTGTTTTTAGGGGGGGGGGGGGGAATACAAATATTATAGTTTGGGAGTTTCAAAATGCAACAGCATTGTGTGAAAGCTAAAAGCAATCTAGACAGTAATTACTTTAGGAGTGTGCTGCAAAATGTGCTAATTAATCTTCAATCGAGTGGTTGGAGAAACTGGGTTTCTGTGAGCACACTGCCTTGGTGCATTTCTTCAGGCCGGCACTCGACATGTTGTGGCAACTGCCGTCCTTTGTCTTCGGTAGATCTTAACGCTCCATGGCATGAAGGACAAATCACGAACATGAGGTAAACGCGTGGTAAAAGTCAGGTCAGACGGTCTAGCACGAAATGTCACGACCTCCGGAGGCATGCATCCGGTGCATGTGATCCGTTGTTTGAGTATAGATCTAAAGCGACACGATAGAATCTTGATAAAGGTATCTAATGCATTTACAAGAAAGGGAGAAGTGTAAGGGAGAAGAGAGAGAGAGAGAGAGAGAGAGAGAGCGCGAGGAACGATGGATAGAGAGGGAGAGAGAGACAGTGGGGTTTCGGAAGTATCATGTAGTCCCCATGTAGTTCGGATGTGAGAGTCTGGGGGGAGGATCAGCTTTAAACTTTTTTTGTTTTTAGGGGGGGGGGGGACTACAAATATTACAGTTTGGGAGTTTCAAAATGCAACAGCATTGTGTGAAAGCTAAAAGCAATCTAGACAGTAATTACTTCAGGAGTGTGCTGCAAAATGTGCTAATTAATCTTCAATCGAGTGGTTGGAGAAACTGGGTTTCTGTGAGCACACTGCGTTGGTGCATTTTTTCAGGCCGGCACTGGACATGTTGTGGCAACTGCCGTCCTTTGTCTTCAGTAGATCTAAACGCTCCATGGCATGAAGGACAAAGCACGAACATGAGGTAAACGCGTGGTAAAAGTCAGGTCAGACGGTCTAGCACGAAATGTCACGACCTCCGGAGGCATGCATCCGGTGCATGTAATCCGTTGTTTGAGTATAGATCTAAAGCGACACGATAGAATCTTGATAAAGGTATCTAATGCATTTACAAGAAAGGGAGAAGTGTAAGGGAGAAAGAGAGAGAGAGAGAGAGAGCGCGCGAGGAACGATGGATAGAGAGGGAGAGAGAGAGACAGTGGGGTGTTCGGAAGTATCATGTAGTCCCCATGTAGTTCGGATGTGAGAGTCTTGGGGGGAGGATCAGATTTAGACTTTTTTGTTTTTTAGGGGGGGGGGACTACAAATATTACAGTTTGGGAGTTTCAAAATGCAACAGCATTGTGTGAAAGCTAAAAGCAATCTAGACAGTAATTACTCCGGGAGTGTGCTGCAAAATGTGCTAATTAATCTTCAATCGAGTGGTTGGAGAAACTGGGTTTCTGTGAGCACACTGCGTTGGTGCATTTTTTCAGGCCG